TTTATTATTTTGATTGAAGATTTGCCCAGAGAATGTGCAGCCAACTGTGAGATTCTCCTGCTGCCTTAAGATTTTGTCCATCTTCATCTCTGTATTTTGTGTCTGCGTTATCAGCGTCAGACTCTGGAGGAGACAGATTAGGCATGCAGTGTCATTACTCAGAGGAGCCGACAGACAAGCTAGAGGTCCAATTCAGCCTCTGACCTAGTGATGACAGTAGTTTGAGTTGTGCAACCACATTTCAGCACTTTGATACACCGGGAATATCAATAATAATCACAAATAGCGTTAGGATCAATTCGTCAACACGCTGCAAGTGCTTATGCTGGTCATTAAATATCTGACCTGACAGCTGTTCTGCTGAGAACTCTAAGGATCTAATCAGCCTGAATTTAGATTCGAAGCAGCAGTGATGTTTGCAACTTTATTATTATTGTTATTATTATTTTTCAATTATCAAAGTCGTTTGTATTCTGTTTGATTTGTTAACCAGGTCAAACCTCCAAGGCTGCAATCACTCATTACTCTCTAATAATTTCCACTCTTTTACTTCATTATGATAAAGTAGAAAAATGTGTCCATATGAATCCAAGAGGTCCATGCTCCAATTCTTTCTGCTGCTTTTCTTTTAAGTCTCTTATGTGAAGTCTTAACAATTGATTTGCTCTGACAGCAGAATATTTTTGTAGACGTTCAAAATTCTCCTGTTTTGTATTTTCTCACTATACATAAATCCATTGAAGCATGAGGTTTGCCCAAACTGCTCTCTGATTAAATTAATTTCCCTTTGAAAATAACAGGGGAAGACAGGGTGTTTTTCAAAATCCTGGGCAACAGTCAAAATTCTTTGCTGGGCTCAGTAGTCAATATGCTGTGTTAAACAACAATTGAAAGTTTTATAAAATCAGTTCTTGTCAGGAAGTCACAGTGGGAGAATATGCCTCTAAGAATTTTTGTATTACCAGCTGTTAGGGGGAGGCACCTGGAAAATGGATTCAGCTCAGCAGACAGCACAGGGAGTGAATATGATCGAGGAAAGAAAGCCCCATTTTCTATGTTAAGCGTTGCTCTGCTGCACTGATTGTCTACCAGTAATGGCAGCTTTTAAGAAGGATGTGCTTTTAATGAACATTTTAATGAAATTACGGTATGCACATGGGAGTTTTTCAAAGCTATATGGTATTTGCTGTATGAGCAGATATATTGGCAGCAGTGATTCTCTTCTTATTCAGGCAGTTCTGAAGAAAATCATGTATGAATAAACAACCTAAACAACCTTTTTTTGTTCTGTACTCCAGCTTACGGTATATTAATTTCTTGGTTAGAACCACATTACATGGGGTCTGTTTTGCAGCTGAGTCAATTTTGAGGCTTTTTGTGCAGAAAAGGGATTCCATTTTCATTTATATTCAAAATCTCTGTTCTGAATTTTCACTCTAATCCTTTGTATAATTTGCCTAACCCTGATGACAGAATATTTAAATTGTGCAGCATACAAAGTTTCTTATTCGTACTTTGTTCATTACTTTTTGATGAGGATAATTTGGGTTTAAAATGTTTATGTGTTATTTTATGAACCCCACATAAATTGTCTTAGAACAAGTTACAAAACTGATAGATGAAATGTATTAGTTATTTATTTTGAGTACAACTATAATCTTTTACCAACCTCAAAAGGTACATATTCATCCTTTCAATTTTCTCTTTTCAGCAGTTTTTAACTGGTATACTTATTTTATCAGAACTTAAAAATATGCAAACTGAGGCAGAAACAGAAAGCAGGCAGAAAAAGCTGAGGAACAAAAAGAAAATGTTAAGTTTGAAACTTGAAACTATATCATCGGTACATAAAAAGAAATGATATCCACAAAAGAAAAAACTAATGACAGAAAAGTGTCTTTTAGGATTTTTCATTCAAATCATGAAGAAATATCTGTCAGTTTACAATGTGTGAAGGAGAAAGGTAGAAAATCAATTAAGTTAAAAAAAAACATACTCAAATAAACCTTAAGCGACATTAGATGTGTCAGGATTTTGCTCTTTTTGGTTCTGTGTAAGTTTTCTTTTTTAATTTTCATTGGTTTCATTTCTATTTTCTGTTGCTTTCTCGTTTTATTTGAGTTCTTATGTAGTTGTTGTTTACCCTCTGTTGCCCTCTTGTGTCAGTCTCCTTTCCCTAGCTCCCTTCTAGATGCTTCTGTCCACACCTGCTCCTAATCGGTTGATTACCCCCAGTCTTTGTTGTGTTTGGCATATATACCCCTCCTCTTCAGTTGCTGTTTGCTGGTTTCTCGTCGTGCCTTTCTCCTCATGTTTGTTTTCCCTAATGTCTCCTGTTTTTTTGGTCTTGCTCTATTTTTTTGTCTGGAAACCTCCACACAACTTGACAAGATGTTGTAACTCATACAGTTTTTCAATGAGTCGTTAAGGTTCATAGCTGTAGACAAACAAGATATCCTGGTAGAGGTCTGTCTTGCAGTGGATCATGAGAAGCCTTTTACTGACGGTACACTGATGTTTTTTAACACTCTTTTGAAGAAGATCCTTAGGGCTTAATAATGTTCATTTTATGAAGGACTCTTCTTTGTTTCAAGAACAGAGCCACACTTCTTTATTAATCAACCTGAAGCTGCTAGCCCAACAGATGACAGAAGAGAACACACTTTACAAAAGACTGAAAATATTCCTCATTTCGCTGCTGACACTGGATGACTTAAGCTTCCTCAAGAATGGCAGTCTGCTCTGTCCATTCCTCCAATGATTGCAGAGATTGAGGCGTGTTTAAAATCACTATATATTGTAACAGATGCATTAGTGTATTGTGTCTATATCTTAGCAACAACTAAATTTATTACATCACATGTAGAGCTGGAAACAGCAGGTAGTGGAATGTATACACTCGCAAAAATACTACTGGCAAACTCTGGGCAAATAATATGGCCAAGAACAGTTTAAAATCTGGGCCACAGACTTTATGTTTCACAGTAACATGTCCTGGATGATACTATATGTTGTTCACAAACACTCCCAACCCACCTCCTTTGCTTTTTCAAGCCTTCTTTAAATCCCTGTCCGCTATATTCAGAGAGCCTGGCAGACAGACACTGGAGTTGGGGATATGATCCTGCAGCTAAGTGCAGGGGCGCAACTACATATTTTTGAGGTGGATGCGAAAACACATAATCTGCCAATGGAACAAGACAATTTACATTTAAAATAAGAAAAGAACAATTTCATTGTCTTATTTCAAGTCCATATTATCTAATAATCTTACTTTAAGAGTAAACATTCTCATTCCATTGGCAGATCATCTTATTTACCTACTCAAATTAAGGGTAAATACACTTAATCCAAGAAATTTTTTACTGATTTCTAGAATGTTTTTGCGGTGTAGGGCTTTGAGATCTTTATCCTTTTTCCGAAAGATTCACATTGCTTTGAAATAATGGAAGAGATGGCTTGAATTTCCTCCTTCACTCTCCTGTCCTTGCCTTTGCTCTGCATTCACTATATTATTTCACTTTTTGAGATGTTAATTAGCTTCTCTAAGGTCCCCCCCCAAAAATAAAGCAACTTACAAAAATCCTTTAAGCTTCACACCATTCAACAGTAGAGGGAAACACACTGCTCTGGTTCAGACCACCATGAGCACAATAATTACCTCTCCTATTTTTTTTTTATAATTCTCACCAGATCACCTTATATTTGTAAGTTATGCAGTGATATGGCAACTCTGAATTTTATCAGCTTGATCGCTATGGTGTTTCCTCATAGGACTTCAATTGGACGACAGAGTATTAGGGCCAGGCTAGAGATTTTTTTTTTTTCAATTCGAGAATGAAGTCGTAACATTCTGAGAATAAAGTCAGTATTACGAGAATAAAGTCATAATATTACAAGAATAAAGTCATAGTATTACGAGAATAATGTCATAATATTATGAGATTAGAGTTGTATTTTATGACAACTCTTACAAGAAGCACTTTCTTCTCTAATACGAGGAATGTTGAGCATCATGTAAAGTTATATTTGGCATCGATTTGACAAATAAGGAAATATTTTAGCACACCAGTATTAAATTAGGCAGTATGTCAAAATTGACGCAGGCTGCTGTTTGGTGGTGCTGGTCGGCCGTTATGTGCTGGTCAGAGCTGAAAGCTTTTTTTCTGAAACCGGTTATGCTATGATGACTTTATTCTCATAATTTTAATGACTTTATTCTCATAATATTGCGACTTTATTCTCATAATATCATGGCTTTATTCTCGTATTTAAAAAAAAATAAACCTAGCCTGGCTTTAACACTCCATCATGCAATTGTACTATAGCAATGTAGATGGAAATAAATATTTTCAGAGTACACTATTTATTTTGCCCTTCAGACATTTAACAGCTGAAAAAAAGCATGGAAGATGTTGAGCTCAAAAAGAACCCTAGTGGTTGCTTTGGTGGTCTGGTTGCTCACTTAATGCTAGAACCATCGGTCCTAAGGAGGAATATATTGTCTCCACCTATGTTTAATTATGCACTTGAATAAATGATGAAAATGCTGGGTTAGGGTTAGGTTTCTAAATTATTTAAATTTCTTACTAAAAAAATCATTCTCTTTAAACTTTAGCTTTATTGTCTAATTGTGTAAACCAAAAAAGGTCTTGCTACAGCTTCCACTGCTATGTCAATGAGGTTGCCAGATTGCTAAAATGCTCCATGCAGCTTTATCTTCAGGAGCTTATCTTCAGATATAATATGTAATCCCACATGTCTTTTGTATCCTTACTTCCACAAAGTCATAACACCCTAACCACTTCCCTGTGCACCTGTTTGTGTCCTTACACACTGTTTCTGTTCACAGGAAACACCACAGATATCAATGACAACAGGTAAGGCTATAACAGACCCAGTTGCCCCCATGCTCTGATTGCACTTGTTCTTGAAGAATATACAATTTAATCCTCAATTTACCTTCTTCACTGCTCTGTCTCCCTGCTTCATTGCTGCCCCCTTGCTGCGGACACTGCTACTGCTGCTGCTATTCCTCTGATTCTGGTGTGTGTGCATCTTTTTATGTATGTTGCTGTTAGCATGTGTCTGAATGTGAATTCTGTGTCCAGAACTGATGTCTGCAATAATCAGGACACAGCCAAACTCTATAAGCGGCAAAATGAGGCTCCAGCCTGCTAAGGTAAGCATATAGTAAATGTGTTATCAGAACAGTGTTTGGGCACATATTATAGATTAAAATTTAATTAGGAGTATATCAAATGTTCAGCACAAGCTTTTCAATATTTAATATCAAATCTTGTTTATCCCGTGTTTGAAAACTAAAGCTTCATTAAATTTGTCTGCAGGACTTTCATATGGATTTTACTTGTAGTACTCGGTGGCATATTTTTTTTAAATCATGGAAGGTTTCTCTCTGAACCTACCCCTGCAAAATGTAGCCTGCATGGGAAAACAGGCTCTTGGGAAGTGATTAAATTTGTTTGCCAATAATTAGGAACCCCCTAAAGAATGCAGGCTGGAACTATAGGCTTGAATTTTCTCTCATCTTTATTTATGTCAGCTCCTATTGCATTTAATAATGCAGATATAAATTGTGCTCCAGAAATTATTTATTGGTTAGTAAATGTCCCTGTTTTATAAACAATATAGTTAGTTGCCTTTGAAGGATCTATCCGAGGGATTCTTAATATTATTTTGCCAAACATATCTTAAAAATGTCTAATTTTAAACTGTTTTTTAATCACCATCAACTTACTCATAAGTATTACATGGGAGAGTTAAATTAGTAACAATTGCGTTATCTCTTGTCCAGAGTTTTTAGTCTCAATACAGACCGGGAAATGTTTTCTATATTTTAAAGCCAGAGCAGTCCAAGATTTTATGGGGTCAAGACAAGAATTGTAGTTTGGGCCCCATTTCTTGTTATGCTTAATACGCACCGGCCAATACAGTCCTGGTCTATCATAAGTTAATTCAGTTCACTTTCGTTTATTAGTTGTTTTAAAAAACTCATAATAAAAAAGAGAAAAAAATTCTAAAACAATAAAAATAACAACTGGATGTAATGCCATGTAAAAAAAAAAAACAGTGCTGGTTTATTTAACCATATCAATAACACTCCAAGTATATACCTACAAAGGCTATTAACACGTTAGCACAAAGTAGAGATTGATCATGTAATCAAGTTGGGCCAACTAAAATAAACAATAGAACATATGTAGAAAATTTCCAAGACCCTACAATGTAGAAAGCACACTTATTTCTACACATTTTTGAATATGTACTCAGAGGCTTCTGCAGATATAAAAACTGCCTCATGAGAAGAAGTTCTTCTTATGTGGCATACAAACAGTAAGCTAAGATTCTTAGCTTGTCTTGGTGAGCAATTGTGAAATAAAGAATTGCTTATCATGTAATTTTTAAAACACATTAGTAACCCCACCATCATATGTCTCACTTTATAAGCAAAAGTACAAGTTAATATAATGGTATAAAATGCATTCAGCAACTTCAGCTCGGGAAATAAGGGAGTACAAGTTTTCTTCTGTTCCAGAGTAATTACTGATTTAAAAAACTGCTTTTGAAGCAGCCGGATTTATTAAGATAAGTTGGAAATTTATTACCCAAAACAATCTTGCAACATGTTATATATGAATAAATGAGACTATAGTACATAAATGAAAAACATTTATGCATTTCATTTCCTTAGTTTTCTGAAAACACTGAGTGATTTTTCAAAGTATTTTGCAAACAACACTGTTCCTTCCAATATAATTTTTTTATTAATGAAACTACTAAAAAAACAAGTTGATGACACTTTGTTCAGTTTGTCATTGTCAATACTTACATGTATCTCTTCCTTTTTCTATTTTTTGTTATCAATAAATGAAAGGAAGTTAGATTACTAAATGTTTGATGGTAGATTAATAGTTTGAAACCATCATGAGATGTGTATTTTTTTGTATTTCTTTATGTATTTCTTTATTATATTTTCCAAAACTCTATTGGAAGCTGAAAGGCAGGTGGCATCTGCAAATAACAGTTCATAAATTGTTTTATGTTGTTGCAAGACCATTTATATACCATATAGGTTATTACCGTATGCTATTTAGTCATGCTATCGACATAATTGTTTTATTTTTGTTGAAGCAGGCTGCATCTTAAAGTAGCAGAACATATGTTCTAAAGCCTTGAGCTTGACACCTGTTTGATTTTCACAAACTTCTAGAGTTTGCCCCATTAAAAATTATCAGATTTTATAATTCAGTTTCAAGGTTCATAGTTTTAATAAAATAAGTTTTAAAGAACCAGTTCGAGCTACCCAAACTTTTAAAGCTCTGTGAATCTCGCTTAAAGAATATATATATATATATATATATATATATAT